TAGGAGAAGTACCTACGCTCAATCCAATAGCAATAAAATGAAATGAAATTTGGTTATTCAATTATTTCTTGTAGTTTCCTACCTTGTTTTCCACTTACTATCTTATGTTTATGTTTACTATCTTGTAAATAAACAGTAAAACGACATTTTCTACAAGATGTCTCGATCTATTAACTTGGATGTTTTTTTATTATTTTTTATTATGCTTCAAGGTTGGTTTTTCCAATAGCCCTATTTAGAAGTGATGATTATATTCAACTCAAAAATCCTAAAAAAATATTCTAAACCTTGTTTGTAACCAACAACCATGATTCTAATTAGAATTCCATTTTCAAACTCTAACTTTTAAAGCGCTGTGTATTTTTATGTAGATTTTTTAGATATTTTGATGCTTTTATCTTGTGTTGAATTTACAATTTAATTATTTTTGTATAGTCTATCTAAGTACAGTATGAACAGTGATATTTTAAGGACTCAGTAAGTAATTTGATAAACAGTAAATGAATGCAGAATTTATTTCAAGGGGCTTGAGGCTGACATGAGAAATAAAAGGCGAGCAAAGCAAAAGAAATCTCAATAGGCTACCACAAAATACCACATGAGAACTATTTCAATCATACAATATTTTTCAATCGTACACATATGAATTAGCCTGTGAGTAGGTATAGTAAATGCCAGTAGGTAAAAACAATGAGCCAACAATAAGTCATGCTGGGATGAGGTAATGCTGAGTCAGAGGGAGTGGGGATCGATCAATATGAATGAGAATCTTAACTGGTTGTCAACGAAGCAGGTCTGGGTCAATGTCAACAACAAAGCAGCAAGAATCACCTGGCAGATGGCCAAGAAGGTTAAATGTCTGGAAGAGGTAGGAAACAGTAAAGTGTAATACTGAGGAGGTTTAGAACTGGACCCAGTTGTCATTGATCTTTGGGATATATTAATACAGCTTTAGGGGTACAATATTAGGGGTTACAATTAGAGGTTCAATGTATATATTGTACAAAATAATGAATAAAGAAGTTTGAATTGAATTGAATATTGTTACAGCCTAAAGCATCAGTTGATTTGAGGCTGTAACAAAACTACAAAGGAACTTCAATCGTCCTTCATTTAACTACAGCTTAAAAATGCATCTATGTGGGCATTGTGAATTACCGTCAAAACTAAATTGTTATATGGTAGACTGTAAAGGTTTAACTATAAGGACACATGGTGTAAAGTTGCTCTTGAGCCATCAATCGATTTAGATACCCACAACAAAATAATACATTTGATTTTATCTTCAATAACTTTTGAACTAAAAAATTAAAAACTTACTGCCTTAACGTGAATTATAATGAATGAAGACTAGAAAATAGTTAATAGGTTGGAGGTTGTTAATGTTACCAGTTTAGTTTAGTTTTTTAATTAAAAATATGAAATATACACATTTTAGCGATGAAAGGGTGAATTTGAAAATTAGGTTTTACTTGTTAGGTATTATAGTTTAATAACATTGGAATGCATTTATTTATCCTAAGGCAAATTTCCATCATTTAAGGAACAAATTATTATTATCAACTGAGATGGTGATACCACCAGGTGTGTATTTTAACCCAAATATGAATAATGAATATTAGGGATGAGTGTAGAATGGTGTGTGATGCCTTGTTATTTATTAAAAGTCCAGTGATCAAGGACAGCTAAGTCTGAACCACTTTAATATTTTTACATTTTACTTTGTTTCATACAGCATGGAAAGTTATTTTGGTCCAACTCTATAAACTGGATAGGTAATCAATTAACCCAGCGAGTACACCAAGCGTGTACCTACTAAGGTAGGTATTAGACTACACTCAACACACACCTGCTATTACTGAAGATTACTCAACACGCGAGTGTGTGTGCGTGTGAGAGTTGCGTCGGCTGGTCACTAGCATCACTTTCCCTGGTGACATCATTCTGTGGCAGGCCACCGACTCATGATTCATACAACACTTATGTTTGCCAACAAGTGGCTTGATATTCATTCAAGGGTTTGAAGTGACATACATTTGTGGACTATGAGAACATTCCTCTACGTAGTCTTTCCAGAGTTTTGTTGAATTATTTCTGATTATATTTACGAAGATTTTGATAGGTGATTTGTTTGATTCGTCAGCCTTTAACTTTTTGACTCACTAATTGTAAAACCGCCTTTACACCAAAGTTTACAAAAATCCAAAGAACGATAGTTTTTTTCATAAACTCTTTTTCAGTGTTTACAACCGAAATTTTGTTTTCTGATAAATGTTTAGGCTACATCACTTTTTTAAAGCCAAGTTCACACCAAAACTGCTAAAACCAATGATTCTGTATCACGACCGTGATAGTTGTCGTGACAATAATTTAATCAGGAATGAACTAAATTAACCCTTAGAGTGCCAGGCGAGAAATAAAAGTAACGCTCAAAAAATGCCGATGATTTTTCCCGAAGGTCGCGATAAAAATGCCGAGTGCGATCTGGCGATTTTTAGGTTAAAATTTCGTAAAAATCGAATTTTCGATATTTCGACCAGCGAAAATCGATGTATTGCATCTAGTAACTTTCGACTCAATGTTAATATATGGGTTAAAAGAATCCGAGTATCCATTTGGTTGTTATGACAACTGTTCGACCATTACGAAACGTCCGGTCAGCCGGACGTTGGCACTTTTGGCTCATTCTAAAAACGTCCGGTTGGCCGGACGTCGGCACTTTTGGCTCGTTTTAAAAACGTCCGGTTCCCCGGACGTTGGCACTCAAAGGGTTAAGTAAGACTTCATTTAAACATACCTATCTTTTGTAAGATGTAAAAAACAATAACAATATTTGTTTACATCTGATCATAATAATCTCCTAAATAAAACACATGTTTTATTTGCAGTCTTTATGAAACAGATCCCTTATGAAGAAATTTAACTGCTTATTGTTTTTCCAAAGTGAAAGAAAGCCCAATTCCAAACATCGTGCAATATGACTAATGACTACCTAACACAAATAACGTATCAGGGAGTGGTTAGTCATAACTCACCTGACACGTGCCTTATCAATGAGAGAAGCAAATTACTTGGTACGGTATCTGCAATTTGTCAAGCAAGCAGACTTTACTGCCGTTTCATTCCACTGATTCTCACAATGCACGATTATGTCCTCTATATCGACCGGTATTTTTTGGTAATGACAGCAAAACAATAAACTAGTACGTTTTTGTATTAACAGGTCTATACAAATATTAAAAAATATAATAGTAGCCTAAGCATTGGTTTCAGAGCATAGAAGAAACCATTCGCAATTATTAAAAGGGTAGATTTAAAAACTACTCAGAAGTCACGTGTATTTTATTTAAGCAGATTTAATACAAACAAATTATATCTTAATTGGTTTTATTTGGAACTGATAAAAGATCATGTAAAACCAATTAATATATATATATATTACAGTTCTGAAGCTACAACTATGAAATTCAAATGATATCATTCAATTTCAGGCTAAATCCTTTAGTAGGCAACTACACTTTTATTGCAACAAGCAAACATTTACTTTCGGATAGGTACCTATTTAGACGTTCCATCTATAAGGGCTAGTTTTTGTCAATATCTTACCAAAAAAGACATTGTTTAAAGGGCCACTCAAAGAATGAGGTATCGACATTAATTTTCTCTCTATAAAATAAGTTGAAATTTCAGTTTTGTTTGATTAAAATCGGTGATACAACAGAAAGCAGTAATTGACAACAGAACATTCTGTATGAGACTCGATTCATCGAAGTTGACTTGTATTTAAAAACTGGCAACAACCTTTAACAAGGGAATAGTGTCTTGTTTTCTCCAAAATCAAAGTATCGTCTAAATAAATAAACAGCTTAGACTGCTGATTTATTATAACCTATAACTCAATATTAACCCTTTCATTTTAATCAATCAATTTTGTATGGTACACAAGAATATGTCAAAGTACTTAACCTTTATTTAAACACATTTACATAATTCCCAAACAAATTCACATATTTTCATAATGTGAAGGCAGGAAGAACTACAGGATGTGTAATTAGTTAGTTGAACTGAGCATCATCCTGGCTGACTGTTAATGTGAATCTAGATAAGGCCTGTGGTAAGGTCAGGTGGGGGGAGGGAGGTGTTCAGCATTAGTATGTATGCTGGGTCTCCATACCTTGGGAAGGGCTGCATGAACCTAACATTCCACAGTCTACATGCCAAATGTTCAACACGTTTAAAAACCTTTATTCTAGTGAATCCCTTCAGAGATTAATCGTGGTTGTAAAAAAATGAGCATGACAATTGATGAAATGATTGACTGTTTATTTTGGTTTTAACACATAGGCCTACATTTTTGCAAAGTCTAAATTTAAGAAAAAATAATTTTCTGTGGGTTTTTTAGAGAATGGTCTTAACACTGGTCTTATAACGTTTAAAATTAATAGATTTAGGTCTATAATTTAACTTGTTGTTTTGTCAATGCCACTATGTAATTAACAGTGAGCAAACTTGAGACCATGTGTTTTTTTTCCACATCACTGTGTGATTGCAGTTTTTATAAATTTTGAGTTGTCTTTATGGTCTCTCCCCATAAAAATAAAAGAATTATAAAGTTTGATCAAATAATTGTAAGAAGGTGTAGACCACATCTGTTTGTATAGACTCATAAAACAGACTGATACAACCATAGGAATTAGTATTTGTACATACAAATTGAGGATTATGAATTTGTTACAAACTATCAATAAAACAAAACATTCAGTTCAGCAAGTTATTATAGGGATACAGTTTCCTATCCAGTGAGTGGTGGTTGTCATAATATTGCCTAGGTGGGGTGAATACGAATATCTGTAGGCCTACTTGGTAGTTCGTTGATTAGGGTTGAAAGGATGTAATATTATTTGGGCATTCAATTCTACACGATAAGCTTCATGGTGTATATTTAAAGATAGGCCTAACTAAATGCAATTAAAAATAAATATACATAAAATGGGTCTTACCTTTATAGGTGTTAATTTGCTCAGGGCCGTACATGTTGAGGGAGCGGTAGGGATTGACAGAGACACATACTTCCCCAATGTAAGTATATATGTGCCCGGCATGAAACCTGGAACAAAGTTTTTTATTGATAGTTTTTTATGTTAACCATACTTAAGGTAGGAAGTTTAAATATGACACTTGACTTTAATGTTAAGTAGTCTTGATAATGTATGACAAACACAAAGAAATGTGTTGGTTTTTACATGATTTGAGGAAGTCATGTGTTACAAACCTACCTTTATTCGAATTTGTAAACCAGCAAGATCGGACTATGGCAACAGGGTTTTTATGGGGTAAAAATTAATTTTCTCATGTTTCACACAAAACATATAAAAATTTTCAATTTCTTTTAAAACCATTTTTTAGAGATTTTAAAAAAACATCTATTAAGTAGGTACCGTACATTAAAACATTGTGTACAGAGACAAATTTGAAAAATCTGAGAATTTAAGATTCCCAAATTTTTCTTGTGGATAATAAAATAAAACTAGTGATTTGTAGGGACACAAGTCCCTAAAAAGCTCAAATGTAAAACAAATTATTGTAACAGGCTCAGAATCAAATTTTTCTCTTTGCAATATCCCTGTACACCACATCTTTTGTGAAAATAAAACAGTCTCTTTGTTTGCTTTTGTTTATGTTTTTCAATAAATAATTTGAATCATCCTAGAGGTTTAACCCTAGTTATTATTTTATATTTTATACTCCTTTTGTAAAGGTTATCAAAATTAGTGCAAAGGAATCCCACTGACCAAACTTAGAACTAGATTTGTTTCTGATCAACATAACAATAGAAACTAACTATGTGGTGGTATTTCTTCAAAAGGTACGATAAACTTTACATATTCTATAAAAATAGGCCTTTTTAAACGTTCAGTGGGGGTTAATTGTTCAGGCCACACTGAAGTATTCATTTTCTTCTTTGTCCATATTTTTTAGCATTTAATTGTTAATACAATAACATTTTATTCTGTGGATAACGGATATAACAGGGAGGATTTTTTATATAAATTCAAATTTATTTAAAAAATTGAAATCTTACTACACATTGTAGTCTGCTGTAGAACAAAGAATAATATTACATTAAATTTTGCAAGTTTGTTTAAACCTAATTATGATAATTGTTATATAGGTGGTTTCTTATAATATTAATAGAAAATTTTATGGCTGTTAAAGATATTAGATATAGCACTTGATTTTCTAACTTGAATTTCTTCCAAAATTTCTCAACTTGTTGAGGAATTGTTCCTCTTGATCCAATGAGTAGTCCATATACTTCGAATTTTGATATTTTATATTTCTCTGAATAATATGGGATAGTTTTCTTATAAATATTAACTTTTTCTTCATGGACTTCCTGTGGCTGATTTTCATTTGTCTCAAGACGAACTGTTGGGTCTATAATGAGACCGAAATCTTTCTCCTTGTCTATAACAATGATGTCACTCCGCCTCACAGAGCCCTCTTCTTCTATAGCCGTGACCTCTTCATAGACCTCGTAACTTTTCTTTCTGAATTGATCAGCTATGATTTTTCTGATGGTATGGTGGCGGGTATTTCGTAGAAGACTACTAAATGGGCACTTTCCAAGGACGTGGGCAAGAGTTTCAAGAGTAAATTTCTCAGATACAGGACAATGCCTGCACTGGTTCCCGTCCCTGGATCTCCCATGAAGACTTCTAAGAGGAATAACGTCTCCGACAATTTTCAAGTATTGTTTGAACTCAGCTTCTGTGAGGCCACAACCTCTAGCCAAATTTTTATTGATCTTGTTACATTCTTTGAAAAGAACCACCCCATTCCCTTTGTATGGAAGTTTACACCAATTTTGATACTCTAAGTCTCGTAAGGTTTCTCGCAGTATCTTGGGTTTTGATTCGATAAATTCAATACTTAAATTCAATTTTTCCAGACAAAACCTAATTTCTTCGTCAAATTGACGTAGGGGTTTCCCGTTTGTTTTAATACGCGACATATGTTTATATGTTGGATTGATGATTCCCACATTGATTTACATAACCCAATCCCTTTGTTTTTAGTACTTGTATAAAACATAGAATTTGGCATATCATTTGGAAGATCTAAGATTTCCTTTGTTGTTGATATTATCACTTTATCAACATCGTCAAAGAATTTCATTGTAATTTTCTTAATTGGTGTGGTTTGAAAAGGATATATTAAAGATGGCCAAATATTATGATTCAATACATACATTTTTTGTTCAGACCTTAAAAAAGGAGAACATGTTAATTTTGTTTATCAATGAACTAATTGTTTTTTCAGAGTCAAATACTATGCTTTCAGAAAAATTTACTCCTAAGTATTTAATTTTTTCATTAAATGTTATAGATTTTATTTCTTTTGAACATATTTGGAAGTTTTCCTCTTGTAATCTACCTTTTTCAATGTTAATAATTTTAGTTTTTGATATATGTATAGTTAATCCAATTTCTCTGAAGAAGTCATAAATCGAATCGAATAATACAAGAGCACTTTCTCTATTCTTACCAATTAAAATGGTATCGTCAGCGAATCCTAGAATACTTAGAGAAGGCATGTCCTTGCATAGCTTATACCCTAGCTCCTCACTTACGGCATGTTGTGACATTTCAGAGAGGATATGGTCAATACATAGGTTATACAAAGTGGGTGACAATGGAGATCCCTGCATTACACCCCTCTGTATTTTGATGTCTTTTGTTTTCCCTCTATGAGTTTCAACTTTTGTAACATTGCCTATTTGGAGTTTAATTATTATTTCAATCAGTTTCCTAGGAATAGGCAGCTCCTGCAAGACTGAGGATAAGTGGTTATGGCCGATATTGTCGTACGCTTTCTCAATATCCAGAAACATAATACAACAGTCGGTTTTCTTTGATTTTGCTGATCTCAATACCTCATTTAGAATACTTGTATTAAGATGGGAACCAGGGGTATTAGAAAAACCTCCTTGAAACTGGTTAAATTTTATATATTCTTTTAGCCTTTTGTCCAATATTTTTTCTAATATCCTCCTTAAAACAGAACATATTGTGATTGGTCTCCAGTTATTAACCTCTTTTTTGTCTCCACCTTTATCAATTAAAATAGTTCGTGCTCTTTGAAATGATGAAGGTATCTATCTGGTTTGTAAGGTGTATTGTGTTATAAATTGAACAGAGGATCTTTGCTACTTTCTTAAGTTTTACAATTCTCATTAATATTTTTACAGTTAAAAAAAACCTTACCTATCACCGGCTGATTCTTTAGGCCTACTTTTTTGCTACCGGTTAGAGTTCCATTATTCAGTCATCGAAACCAATCACGAAATAAGCCTAACTTTTAATTAGCTTTGATTTGCATATTTTTGGTTAGTTTAAGAAACTTTTAAAGAAACGAAAACTAACTCAAGGTTATTCTGTTATAAAAGATACTCCCTTTACTATTTATATACATTATTATTAATTTTAATATAAAGCTCAAGAAATAATTTTCACTCATATTACACAAGGGGAAGATCTGCTTTGGATAGGCCCTACACCAGACTAACAACAGTACAGCAAAGTTTTGCTAGTATATCAGTAAAAATAGTAAATTGTTTTGCAAGTGAAATACTTGACATTCCTTGTACTCGGCTAAAACAAAAGTTGATGGTTTGGCTTGCTGACCACCCTTTTTACAGTTTAGATGAATTTTTTGCAGAATACAATTGTAGGGTAATGGTAAAATTGTTATCTAGTTCTTACTTAGTCCCTAGTCAACTGTTACCTAGTCTTTCAAACACTTGTTTAAGTACCTCACTTTTGTTTCATATATATAGTTCTGTGTTTTTCAAATGATTTTAGCTTTTATTTTCTTGTTGTCTTTGTTATATTTAAGTTTAGTGAAGATTCCATGTTATAGACCATGTTATACTATCTAGAATCTATGGCCCTTTTTTTGTTAACGAGGTCTATTCTAACATATGTTATTTAATGACCAATAAAGATTTATGATTTATGATTTATACTATTCATTCAAGGATTTATTAGGCCTATTTGAACCTTTTGTCCTTGGAGCAACGGACAGTACCGGTACCTGGTTAAAATCTCCTCCAAACAATGTTTTTTTCCGTCTATTATCATTTGTCATAGTAATTACTTGATGAAAAAATATATTTTGCCTGTACGAACCTATTTACATTGGTTCATATTATTACCCAAGAAAGATAAAGTATTTTTTGTTTTACAAGAAAATACCTAATTTGCATAAGAGTTTCATATTAGCCCTAAGGAAAATTTTAGAATGCATTCTCAAAAACTGCCTAATATTTTGTGGAACACTTGCTTGAAAACAATGTTTTTAATAATATTATGTTAAATGTACAAAATTTAAGAAAACAAACCTCACAAAGTATGGTGACAACTACTTATTTGTGCAACTCTCTCAAAGCAGGCAAATCTTTAAAAAGCTACATCTTCTAATCGTATGGATCCATTTAAGATTTTACATGGTATTTAAGATTTTTTACTGAAACAATGCAAATTAAGTTAGCCATTTTTTTATTGGATTCTAAAGGCTATGCTATTAGACTAAATACCAAGTCTCAAATGGGTTCAAGGGCGGTCCCAGGTTGGGCAGGGGTGTCGTGCCCCCCCCCCAAATATTTTTATATAGATTAACTATTATAGGCCTACCAGGGGAACCTTAATAATTTTTATTGCAAATCGTTCTACCAAATTCATTGCAGTATTTACACTTGTGACAAAAGAAAGAAGGAACTAAAAAACCTAAAACTCAGGATCGTTCGAGTCCGACTAATTTTTGTACTTTATGAAAAGTAGGGTAGATCGGCAGACAACGGGTGCTTTCAGCCATATATATACGGCAACGGCAGTGTCCGATGCTGGCATTTGACATTCGGCCGCATTTATTTATTCTAACGGCAAAATCAACAATTTACAATGTGGATTCAAGAAGCCTAAGTGGTACCTAACAACATGCATTTTAACAGAAAACTTAACTAACTTAAATCTATGGCAGGAGCAGAGCAACATCGGCAACAGGAAATATACCTAATCTTGAATAGGAAAGCAACAATTTAACAATGAAGTACAAAATAAATTATGAAAAAGCAATAGCAGAGGTAAGAATTTGGTCCGGCAATACAGTTATAAACAATCGATCAGCAAAAGCATGGTAGGCCTAAATGCCTTGGCCAATGATATGACAATGAAGTCGAAATGGAATATGAAAAAGCAATAACAATAGTAAATATTTGATCCAACAAAACAGTATTAAACAAACGATCAACATAGCTCAAACATATTAAAATTTACAGAAATCGAAAAAGATAGCAAATGACGAATAACAATGGGACACACTAGGTTTCGGTGACAGGACACCAGGATGCGGCCGCAGAACTCTTGATGGCTGCTAGGCTGTCATGAAAGAGGTACACTGAAGCCGAGACGTAGTTTAGCCGGATTGCATGAGCCATGGAATAGGGCTGTTCTGGAGGTTACTTCTTCCTGCATGCTCCAGCTCAAATAAATGCTGCTCCCTAGTCCTGATGGTGGGCACTCTGAAATTCATCTTCTCCAGGAGGTAAGGGCAAACTACCTTGCTGTTGAGGAGCTTGATGAATCCTCTTTGGACTGACTCTACTAGCTGGTCTGTAAGGCCGAGTTGGTATGGAGACCATACAACTGAAGCATACTCAAGCAGCGGACGGACAAGGGACTTTGTATAAGATGGTAGCTGCTACGGAATCCAGCCCATGATTTAACGTTTGAATAACCAGGCCAAGGGTGCGGCAGGCCCTGGCACATATGACACCAATGTGCTGTATAAACTCAAAGGAGGATTCAATCGTGACCCCAAGATCCTTCATGCGACTGCATCTCTCCAGCCGGTTCCCAACCAAGACATAAGACATAAGACAATTATTCATCATTTTTTACATATGAAATGCATAGATAGGTCAAAATGTTGGTAAATACATCTCGTATTCAGTCTTGAGTAAATAAATGCATAAATATATAAATAACAAGGAATTCAGTTAATACAGTCAATATAATACAAGAGTTAAAATTGAAATTGAGCTACGAGCAAATAAATACAAAAGTTACAAACCATGGCAAGAGATTAAAAATTTGACAGTAATAAATTAAAAAATCGTGCAACTTATATCTAAATCACAGTTACAACCTATTTCAAATATTTTTTATTAACTTATCAGACATGCTAAAAAAATCTTCGATACGGTAGAGTGGGTTGTTTACTAAAAATAAAAACAGCCTTTTCTTAAAATTCTTAAAGTCTAAATCTGTCACAGCCAGAGGTAATTTATTTAATAGCCTAATACCCATCACAACATGTCCAGATCTTGTTTTTTCCAACCGTACCTGAGGCAGATCAATCTTTTTGCAGTTTCTGGTACTAATACTGTGCACTTCATTTCTCATTTTGTATTTAAAGCTATTCTTAAAAGTAAACAATAATAATTGATAAATGTATAAGTTAATGGTGGTCAATATTTTTAATTCAATAAAAAGGGGTTTAAAACAGTGCTTCACTATCCTCTTTACACATTATTCTGATGATTTTTTTCTGAGATAGAAGTACCTCGTGGATTTTAGGAGAGCTACCATAATAAATTAAACCATATGAAGCAATTGACTGAAATAACGCAAAATAAGCAGATTTTACATAATCAAAAGGAACATAGTGCACTAATCTAGAGAACAAGAAAACAATTCTTGAAAGCCTATTTGTTAGTTGATCAATCTGCTGTGACCAGGTTAACTGTTTATCAATCAAAACACCCAAAAACTTAACATACCGGTAATCTTGTGAATCAAAAACATCAGGTACTTTTCTTAAGCTAAATATGACAGATTTTGTTTTTTCGTTGTTTAAGAGAAAAGAGTTTGCTGCAAACCAGTCTGAAATGTTACCAACTACATCTTTAACATGCAAACTTAATAAATCTATATCAGAACCATGCACAAGAAAGGTCGAGTCATCAGCATATAAATAGGTATCACAGAGAACATTATTAGGCAAATCATTTATCAATACTAAAAATAGAAACGGCCCAAGTATGGACCCTTGCGGGACTCCGCATACTACATAGTCGTATTCAATGACGTTTTAGCATTCTTCTTCTTAAAATTGTATGGCATTTTATATGTTATCATTCATTAGTGAGTACTACGACTATCCACAGTAATCCTAATAATTAGATCAATTCGTAGGCCTAAACTTATACCAAGGAAAAAATGTGGTTCGGATTCCACTATAAACTGTAGGTCCCTTAGTTGTCATTAGCTGTATGGGCTATTAATTAACAGCTGTGTCTAAGGAATATGTCGGCCTTAGTCACTAGAACAAGACTACAAGATCGCGCCACTCATCCTACACTCATCTCCATTCATACTTGGCTTAAAATACCTACTTTGTATGGTCGTTATTTCATCAAAAAGTATTAAGTAGCCTACTTATTAAAATAGGCTATATATTTTAACCTAGATGAATGAAAATATGAAATGGGGAGGCCTATCGTAACTAGGCCTATTGGTTAAAGAAAAGAAGTTGTACCCTATCAAAAGTCAAAGCTTGAAAGGTAAACTTAGTTAGGCCTAAATATTAACCCTCCAAGTGTCCATAGTTTAGGCCTTAATGTCCACCTATTTTTGGCGCATTTGCAAGGTTTTATTAAAACGGATCTGAGAAGCTTAAAACAATGTTAATTCTAATGTTCTATATACCATTTTGTTTGGAAAATCATGGGCTTCAATATTATATATAAAACATAAGGAACATTAAAAAAAAAAAAAATTTTAGGTAAAAAAAATATAACTTCGAAAAGTTTCAAAAAAAAAATAAGTTCGCGCTCAATGAAATTGTATAAATTATAGGCCTATAAATATTTGAAAATAGCCACTTTGTTCTAAATGTTATGAGGATTACAAATATATAATAATATAAGGAAGTATATTTGCAAATAAATAAGTTATGGGCAAAAAACTGATTTCAGTACATAGCGTTTAGCTAAGAATGCATAGCCTAACCATAGCTAGGAATCTGGCTGATAATTTACATCAATATCACTACCTACTTCTTCAGGATCATCAACCGGCACTTCAAAACCACTTAAATCTTCTTATAATGCACCACGTATATCACTACTTTTGATTTTTAACACTAAAACAATGATAAACGTAATAAAACACATCAGTCATCGGTCCGGGGGAACCTAGCTGTTTACAAATACACGCACGTCAGCTGTCTGCTACAATATTTTCGGAACTAAAATGAATAGCGCTTAGAGACAGACCTCTGGAGAAAGCTTAGAATATTACGGAAAGAACGATACCTAACTCGATCCAGTTCAATCCGATTCAGTCAGTCATAGAGCCTTCGCCGTAAACGATGTCTGCGTGTCGAAAAATCGACAAGTAACACTACACAAAGTGTGCTGCTTGTCGAATTTTCGTCAAGTAACACTGGGAGGGTTAAATTATCCAAGTTCAGCATTAGGAATTTGTAATTACAGTACAGTAATGTAATTCAATGATTAGCATACTATAGCATTTTTTTTTTTTTTTTTTTTACTTTCAATATTAAATAATTCAGGAGTTTATATTTAGACCTAAGTTTATATCATGACTTACAGATCTTTAACTTAGTGTTTTAACTCAATAGTTTATATTTACATCATAACTTAGGCCTAACTTATCTCTTTATAAATTAAAATTACCAGTATTTCTTCGTTAAGTTCCTTTTCTGAAAAGTAATGTTTATTTTAGTAAATAGGTTAGGGTAATCGGCTTGTTATGATTGCTTCTAAAGGAATGCATTACATCATTTTGCCACCTGCTATGATTCTCTTGTTAAAAGGGATACCGGTTTAAGAATTTGGGGCTTCTAGATAATTTAATAAGACAAAAAGATGCCTCTTACCTTTTCCGTAGATTGTCCATAAACTTTTCTAAGGTAATTTCGTCCAAAAGGACGAAATCCCTTATGCCTACTTCCTCCCTCACGACCATCTCCTCTCTGGCCAACTCTCAACTGAACTACTGTACTGACTACTGACTACACTAATGACTAACTCACTCTAAACAACAAAACAACTACTAGGCCTACACCGTCTGGGTCTGACAAACAAACTGAAACTGAACATGGAATTTTGGTCATGGAACGGAACAGTGAGAGTGAGAGTGAAAGACTAAGACTTAGACTGAACTGAAAGAACGAAACGATTGAATCAGTGTTGCCAAGTCAGAATTCCACGGAACGATTTCAAACATTCCCCGGAATTCCCCACAATTTCCCGGAAATACTTCATACTTCTTCCCTTCATCTTTGACCACTGAGCTATAATTCTAACTGGAGGTAGCACTGAATGTCAAAGATGCGTGTCGCCAGCCGCCATGTTTGCGTGGGGCGGTTGTTATAAGAAGCTATATGTTATTTGTTATTGCTATGACAAGAAAACCCACTGCTATACCAACCTAACAAAATCAGCGACACGCTTTTGACAGACTTCTGCCATGGCAGTGCTATCTCCAGTTCTATGTTTAGCTCAGTGTCTTTGACCAGTGATACTGGATGGATGGCGTCAATAATACTTTTAAAACTAGTTTTTAGGACTGTACAAAACAAATATTTAAAACTGTGTACACTACTTACACATTTTGAGTCATATGTTTAGCGGCATATGAACCTTAGCACTGTCAGTTGGGACTTGGTTTTTGACCCTAATTTATCTGCTGAAGAATGTTTCAATCTGTTCTGGGACTGTTTTTTCTCTAATTTTAATGACTGTTTTCCTTTGGTGAAGAAGAAGGTGTTTAAAAATAGAACTCTCAAAAATAAAGTTAACTGGTACACCCCAGAGCTGGAAAAAATGAAAAAATTAATACTGTTTTATCAAGATGTGTATAAAATGTATGGTAATGAGGACATTCTTTTTTTATCCAAAAATCTAAAGGGCAAGTATCGCACTGCTATCCGAGAAGCAAAGAAGAGAAAAAATGAAGAACTCATCGAGAGGTCTACCAATAAGTGCAAGACTGCTTGGTCGGTAATCAACTCAGCTGCTGGGAGGTCCACGCAGAAAAATATGTCAGCGCTATCCCCTGATGACTACAGCTCCTACTTCTCCACGGCGGTGGAAGAAATCTGTGAGAAAGTGAATGTGTCAAAAAGCAATGCTCATCAAATGGTGGCAAAAAGTGCTCAACCTGTGTTTGATTTTAAATTCACATTGGTATCAGAATTAGATGTTTTAAATGTGATTGTGTCGTTAAAAAATTCTGATACTAGAGATGCGTATGGGTTAACGAGTAATTTATTGAAAAATGTTTGTTCTGTTATTTTAAGTCCTTTCACTTATTGTATAAATCGCTGTCTCATAGAGGGTGTTTTTCCATCTTTTATGAAATTGTCAAGGGTTGTCCCGGTGTACAAAAAAGGGGACAAAAATTTGCCTAGCAGTTACCGACCCATTTCATGTATTTCTACAATGGCTAAAGTTATGGAAAAAATAGTCAAAAACCAGGTATGTAATTTTTTTGAACATAGTAATCTGTTTAGTAACTGTCAATTTGCTTATAGGTTAGGTCTTTCATCAACTTTAGCGGTGGATCATGTTGTAAATAATCTTTTTAACGCTTTAGAGGATAGGTGCTTTGCTCAGATCACCTTATGTGATCTGAGTAAAGCGTTTGACTGTGTTAATCATCCCATTCTTGTAGACAAATTAGCTCATTATGGTTTTCAAGGCTGTGAATTAGATTTATTTGTGTCATATCTTAGTAATCGTAGGCAAATGGTTGAGGTCAATGGTATTACATCGCAAGTCACTCATGTTAATTTTGGAGTTCCGCAAGGTTCAATTTTGGGCCCCATCTTATTTTTAATACTTATGAATGATCTATCTGTTAATGTTTCTTGTAGTGATGTCACAATCTATGCAGACGACACAACACTGTTCTGTAGCCACAGTGACTTAGGGCAGTTGCACTGCCTATCAGAAAATGCCTTAGGTGAATCGACAGAGTGGTTCTCTGCAAATGGCTTGCTTTTAAATGTTGACAAAACTGACAATTTATTGGTTTCAACCCATGACATCTGTGATTTTAGTTCTGTTAAGCTTTTAGGTATATATATTGACAATAGGCTGTCTTGGCAGCATCATATTGATTTTATCTGTACAAGGTTATCCAGAGTCAAATGTTTATTAAGCAGTTTAAGGAATCATGTCACTAATAGCTATTTGAAATTAGCCTATTTTGCATTTTTTGAGAGCATCATAAGATTTGGTATTGTGATTTGGGGTAATGGAGTTGGTATTGGTAAGGTGTTATTGATACAGAAAAAAGTCATTAGAATTGTTACTGGTGCCAAAAGATTAGACCATTGTAAATCTCTGTTCATAGAATCTAGTATATTAACTGTTGTAAATCTGTATATTTATGAAGTCTCCATTTTTGTGAAAAAGAACTCAAACAAACATGTTTTAAGAGGAAACGTCCATAGCCACTTAACTAGAAATAGAAATTTTATTGATGTAAGTAGAGTAAGACTGTCTAGATCTCAAAACTATCATACCCACTTGGGGATCAAAATATTTAACATGTTTCCAGTTGATTTTCGTGCATTGCCCTTAAATGAATTTTCAAAAAAACTGCTCTCTTGGTGTAAAGCTAATCCTATGTACAAGTTAAGTGATTTCTTCAATTTACAATTTGTAAACAAAGACTTAAATTTTATAGTTGTTTATAAATAATGTTTCTATTGTTTAAATTGACGATGTCTATTGTAATTCTTGTGAATTAATTAATGACTAATAAACTTGTCTATTGTCTATTGTCTATTGTCTATTGGCAGGTCTTTGCAGAGCTACGCCTTAGATATTTTGGGTCTCAGCTTGATAAGTTTGAAGACTCAGCCTACAATAAGGGATACCAATTTGTTCCCTCCTTCGGGTGTTATACGGGAGCATGTCCCCTCTCATAGAGACTAAAGATAGGTTTTCCCTGACATAAAGGATAAAGACGGATAAGAAGAATATATTGGCTGTATATGGTGCAGACTTCAAGTTTTATAAAAATATAGGTTTGCAGTGGTCTAAACCAGCCGAGTCTATGATTCTTAAGGCTTTTTCTTGCTCGAGTAGGATATTATTGCATCCCGATACGTGTCCCCACAGCTGAAGCCCATATATAATATGACTGTGAAACAGTGCATGATAGCTGAAGCCCATATATAATATGACTGTGAAACAGTGCATGATATCTACCATTAATAGGTGCTCCTTAGATAGTACGCTTTAGGCGTCTGAGGAGACGTGTTACTTTCGCTAGTTTTAGGCAGATGTTGGTCGTGTGACTGTTCCAGCTTAATTTAGCATCAAGGGTAAAACCCAGTAACCTAACTTCCGGAGAAGTTTATGATTGGCTTAAACTGAGGTTATATATAATTTCTTGTGTCATGTCTTCGTTTAAGCTCAGCTTATTGTCGAGGAACTACTGTTTGGCCACAACAAAGTTTCCTGTTACCAATTCATGGGCCAGATCAGGTGTTTTGCCTCTTGCAAAAAAAGGTGGTATCATCTGCAAATAGAATAAGTATGTCTCCCTGCACATCGAGGTTGTTAATCAAGACCAAGAAGAGAACTGGATCAATGACCAAACCTTGGGGCACTCCATGGTTGATGGGTTGAGGAAAAGAGTTCGCTCCATTCAGGGTGAGGATGCCTATCTGCCAGGTAGGATGCAAAGGTTGAAAGTACCCCACCACAGACTCCGTAAGCTTTTAAGTTTTTCGACAAGCAGGGCATGAGGGACGCAGTCGAAAGCTTTTCTTAGGTCCACGAGAGCCAGAGCCAGAGATTCATTAGCCTCGAAAGCGTTTAGGACCTCAGACAAGCTGGGCAACAGCCGTGACAGTGGATTTGCCACTCCTAAAACCATATTGGACATATACAAAAAGCCCGTTACTTTCAAAGTAGCTCACAAGTTGAATTTTCATGGTTGCCTCGAACACCTTTGCCAGCACTGGGATGAAAGATATTGGTCGGTAACTCTTCATTATTGATTCGGGGTCCCCTTTCTTGAAGACGGGAACTGGGGAACTGTCCTGGAAGTTATCACCTAAAGTTTTTAGGGTATCAGGAAACTAATTATTAAATTAAAAGAGGATACATTTTTTGACAGTTTAAGCCCAGCACCAAGTATGCAACGTAAATAAAACTGTCAAAATACAGACCTTCAAAATAACACAAAATTCAAAATGACACATCTTTTACTGAATGGCTGAATAAGTCCACATGAATGGCAGCCGCCACAGCACCCTCACGCAGTAGCCGAGACAAGCCACACTGTTGTACGCCTAAGATGTGGAATGGAATCTGCCCTGCGCTGTAAAACTGCTCTGGAGCGGGTGCCTCTCGGGATAATAATTAAGGTCAAGGTTGAAAAGCAGATCGGGGCTATCCAGAAGACCATTGATAAGCTTGTACAGCACCACAAGATCAGTCCGTCTACGTCTTATGTGAAGAGGTTGGATAGCAAAGACCTTCTGAAGTTCTTCAATTGGTACATCGGTGTAGGCATAACCAATCCGGATACCCAATATCCGAATGAAGCGAGCTTGAGTTCGAGACACCAAATCAATATGACCCAGCAGATGAGGCGACCATACCACCGAGCCATACTCTAGCATTGGACGGGTCTTGTACAGCAACACTCAAGTGGCCGAGGCTCTTGAAAGTTCCTAGTAGACCTGCATACAAACCCCAGAAGTGCATTCGCCCTTGATTTGATATATGTGTACAATGTGGTCAAAGGGGCTGAGTGAAGGTGTCAAGAATATTCCAAGGTCCTTCACTTCATCCAGCGATGGAAGAGTACTCTTGTTGATGTAGTAATCCGACTTAAGGATAATCAATCCTCTCTTGATCCACCCTCTGTCCATCAACGATATTTGATTGAAGGGTCTTGACGGATCAAAAAGTAGGGGTCCGATGTGAGAACCTTGGGGGACGCCATAGATCACAGGGACGGATGAGAAGAAGCTAATTCACACCATTCACACCTAACAATGAGATATCCCTCCCTCAAGTAGCGCACCTGAGTAACGAACCACCAACACAAGCGTCACACAGCTAAAAATGATCATATAACAGCAAAAAGTCAACAGAATAGTTTTGCCATTGCCATTATTACCCAAATTACTATAATGGTCATGTTTCTTTTTTACTTCTTTTTAGATATACAGTTAAGCTGTGCTTGTAACTGTTCACAGCAGAAACCAATTAAAGTCCTTGCGATCCTTTTCTTCATTTCCTACCAGACATATCATTAATACAATAAATGTAATTTACCACAAGAAATTCAGAACTTCTTTTTAAAAAACATTCCAACAATAAAATAGTAAAGAAGTTGCGCTAGGTCTAATCAAACAGCTAGGCCTACACTGATAAGCTGAGTCCGAGGTGGGACTTGGGATGGGAGCGGGAGAGCTGAGCAAAACAGACGACAAATCGCATACGTCATCAAGAAAATAGTTCTTCTTTATCAATAGCCAGTTTTTGTTTGTTTGCAATAAGTGATAAGGCAGGCTGTAGAGTGTAGAATGCAGACGCTTGACCCACAGCCACCTTTGACTACAGGCCGCGGCCTGGTAGAATTGACAACGTTACAAGTGGTGTTGTCTAGTGCCAGACGTCCCATAAGGTAACATGGCAGACAGGTGACACCAGCACATTATTTCGCGTATTATTCATTAAAATTAAAATTTATGAAAATAAATGTATTGAAAGATTTGAAAATAATACATATAGAATTGAAAACAAAAACAATACTTAAGTAGAAAATCAATTTTTGTACTCTTAAAGTAGGGTAAGTATTGTCATAGTCCAGTAACCAAGCTTTCTTAAATACACAGCTGCTGCCAAACTAAACAGCTGTTACAACACCACTTGCGACATTGCCACTTCGAAGGCCGCGGCCTGGAGTTAAAGGCGGCCGTGCATCAGATCATTAATTTGCTTTTTATTGATTTAAATTTAAATTAATGAACATCAATTCATTAAAATATTAAAAATAAAACATACAGAATTGAAAACTAAAACAATATTAATTGAAAATCTATATCTCTGTACATTTAAAGTGGAGTCAATATTTTCATAGTCCAGTAACCAAGGTTTCGTAAATACACAAATAAAAATGGCATTAGCTGCTTCCAAACAAAACAGCTGTTACAACCCTACTTGCGATGTTGCCACTTCGAAGGCCGCGGCCTGGAGTTAAAGGCGGCCGTGTTGTACCACGCAAAACCTAATGTTTTTTAAAAATAGATTTAAAAATGAATTCAGACAAACGGAAATTTGCTTAGTCTGCAGGTTTGCTGAGGCGGGATATTTTGAAATAAATTCTTTAAACGCTTCAAAATAGCAAAATTTTATGTAAGTACAGTAATGAGCTTTCTAGAAAAAGGAACTGTTCCCTTTGCATTATTTTGTAATAGGCCTACTGGAACTGCAACGGGAACGGGCTGTGAGGGTGACGTCTTTTTGACGTGCGAATAGTCACTTCGATTTACAGTGTTTACTATAAAAATTATAACTGTAAAAAGAGCCATACACCTACCGAGCTATAAGACAAGTCCTGCAAAATCCCACTCCCACTTTCTGAAAAATATTATAAAGTGGAGGATAAAGAAATTCCTAAATTTTCTTTCTTCTGTCATTTGACTTTGGTAGTTCATTGGTATGGTATTGATTGTGATTGTCAGTTTGGCATTCTGTACTTTGGACAGCTGATTGTATTGTATTGGCAAGCAAGAATTTGCACAATCCATCTCCGACCCAAACCTCCTTCTTCCTTCTCAATAGTGCGTGCGGTCTGCGACTGCGACAGACTTGTTCGGATTCCATTGCTAGCGAAATGGACGCCGTAATGTTCGTCGTCAATTCGTAGTCCTAGTTTAAGGGTGCTGTAATCAGTGCTCTTTTTTATAACAAGACCTTTATTTACTATCCATTCAAATAATTAGTTTAACTTCTTAACATGTCTTTCCCTTCAAATTAAATATTTGTCATTTATTTTGGCATGGCGGTCATTGGTAGGAAGTTGCGGTGATTGAGAACCCTTGGTGTTAAAGTCGTAAATTTGTGTGTTATTTTTAACTCGATTAACTAATTTATATATTTTAAATTTATAAGCAGTTAAAGTTATAATCATGGTGAAAGAGAAGCCAGGTTCTACAAGGATCTATGACGAGGATGGGTTCAGGAGACGGGCTGCATGCATTTGTGTGAGAAGCGAATCTGAAAACGAGGTAAGTTAAGCATAAGATGACTATTGATCAATACCTTGCATATTTCTGTAAATTAATTTTGCAAAATCATTCTGGTGATAATATTTAGCCATGAGCATTATTTTCGAAAAAACTAACTTAAGTTTTAGGCATAGGCCTATGCCTAAATTTACATGTAAACTTAGGCTAGGCCTACTAACTTACAGCATGTCCCTAGGAAAGTGCTAAGCTTAGGGAAATCCTAGACCTCGTCCAACTGTAGCCTATGTTCACATTTAATTTAGGCTACATAACTGAACATAGGTAAGTTAATTGGTTCTCTGAGAATCTGCTAAGTTTAACTTGGGCATCCCAGTAATAATATTATCCTATCACAGTCCATGCCAAAGCAGCTTCAGATATGCCTAGAAAACTTATGTTAGGCTAAGCTTAACTTAGGCTAACACATTTTGGTAAATGTGTCGTAGGGTAAGTTAATTCTACAGATTAAAAATAGGATATTGATATACGTCTAAGTTTACTTCCTACACAGCTTTTTGCACGTAGAATCCGAAAAAGCAATGATAAACTTAAAAGTTAACTGGCTAGTGTTTAAAACTTTTAACAAAAGTTTGAAGTTATAAATTAATATATTCCTAACAAAAATTCTTAGAGGCCTACTTAACATAATCTCTTTCAGACCCGGGAATTTTAGTCCTCTCGACCGTTTTAACTTAGGCTAAGTCCCGAGCAAATTTTGAATAGCCTAAATGTAGATTTTTAACCTAGACTTCAAATACCCGTAGGCACTAAAATTATTAGGGAAATTATGGAAATTATTGCGAACAGTGTGACCAAGAGTACCTTAGTAGCCTAATTTTATATATAGCCTATCATTAAGTAGGAACTAGATTTTTACCTGAAAACAATGGTGCAAAAATTTTTCAGCTTTAACAAAAACCGAATTACTACGATTTTTTAATATTATTACTGTAGGCCTAATGCCTCTTGTCGGCTGGCCTCTGGTCACCTTTACTTTACTGTGAATTGACTGACTACGTTAACACAAACATGCACAATTGAAATTGAAAGGATTGTAGGGAAGAAGAAAAACCTAAGATAACAAAGAGCAATTTTCTACAAAGAGGTATGTAGAGGCATATTGTTAATTCAAGAGCTTTGATTATGAACTATTTCAGTTCGTGAGGTTGGTACGTTGGGCGCAGCATTTTTGAAATTATTACCGGTATTTATTGTGTTTGTAGGCCTAGTACCTTTTACAAAGTGCATTTAAACAGTCTGGAGATAATCTAGTATGAGACCTGCGCGTGTTTTATGACGTCAATGGCTTGCAATCTTACTCACAATCCTAATCAATCAGTTGCAGCAAAAAAACCTGAAATAATATTTTAGCGAGGTAAAGGATGAACTTGTAACCTGTTAGTAACATTAAAAGTTAATGCCAATGAACTATTGCCAGAATACTATCAAGGTAGGCTAGGCCTAGTGGGGGTTAGCACGGCCTGACAGTAACTTATGGAGGCAAATTTGTCTACATGCATAGAAACAATGTGAGCTATGTTGCTCCCAAGATAAAGAGAAGTGAAATCATAGAACGTGATCATGGCCATGACACTAACTTACTCATATTTAGGGGAAGCATGAATTTTCTCTCACACCGTCTTTGGCTTGAATACAACAAGACTTTAGTTGTCATATAGGCCTAGTGTGGGTAACTAACTGCCTATAACAGTGGTGAATGAAGTAGGTAAGCTACTGCAAAGAACATAAAAGATTTGAACTAGCTAGCTTGGCTGCAGCGGGGGCTTCATTCAGTATACCACTCAAAGGGATCAATTTCATGAGAAGTTATCAGCTAAATAATGAACATATTACAACTGACCTGTCTATGTTTCCAGGTGCTTCTGGTACAAAGGTTCAACTGCTGTTGATCAAAAGTAAAATAGGCCCTACCTAGAGGTCATAAACTCAAAAGCACTTTTATTCTTTGTTTCAATTTTATAAGTTCTATGGTTCAAGTGCTGTGAATTTAAAGTGTTAAAATAACCTTTATGTAACACTTCAATCTAGCCTAGTGATTTATTTTCGTTAAAATTTTACTGGTACAAGAAATGTGTTGTAATTGGCTTGAATGTGTGTGCAGGTGCTTCTAGTGACATCTTCACGACAGCCGGACCACTGGATTGTGCCAGGGGGCGGAGTGGAGCCTGAGGAGGAACCGAGGACAACTGCCATACGCGAGGTGGAGGAGGAAGCAGGTGTCATTGGGAAGCTGGGCCGATGTCTTGGCGTCTTCGAGGTGAGAGTGGGTATCTTTCCTCTTACTATGGGTTGGTGGTGGTACAAAAAGTCTTTAACACATTCACATCCTCCTGAGTTATACTCCATTCTATGTTTATTGTGTCTATAAACCGTGAATTTTAAATGACACTTTCAGCAATACCGTACTAGCTATTCAAACAAACAGGACTCCTAAAATGCTCTCTAATCTTTCTGTGTTTGTATACGCATTTACTGTACAGTAGAATTCCAACTATCTGAACGCATAATCATCAGGATCGCCAATTATCTGAATGGATTATCGAGAGAATTATTGAAACCATGGTAATAACAATTGTTATAAATTAATGAATAATTAATTCGGTCACGGAAATATCATCATTGTCTCCTGTGATCGTGGCAAAATCTTGAATAACACTTGCATTCGTGAAGACATCACCTCCGTCTACCGAAATCCCGGAAACATCATCATTGTCTCCTGCGGTCTTGTAAACATCATAGTTGTCTCCTATGGTCACAGAACCGTCATCATCGTTTTCTGCGACTGGCAAAATCTTGAACATCTTCTGTGGTCTTGTAGATTGCATCATTGTCTTCAGGGAAAATCGCCATCAACCTCCACAATCGCAGCAAAATCGTGAATTTTTCAATCGCAAAATCCTATCAAACATGCACTGTGATCGTGATAGTTAAAGCTCAGCTTGATTAGGACAATTTCATATAAAAAATACCCTGCAGTTCAGTAAAAATACAACCATCCGAATTTTTGACATCCGTATGTGGTTCGGTCCCTATTGGTTCGGATAATTGGACCCCCCATAAACCCCTGTTCCCATGGTTCGATTATGCTGGTTCGCGAACTTGTTTGAAACGTAGGTTTACACGTTTGTACTAAATTTCATCAAAATCGGATCCTTTTTGCTCGAGGACACATTTAAAATTAATTTGGACGGATGGTGTTTTTGGCCTCTGGGAACCACAAAATAAAAAGGTAAATCGGTCCTGCATTTAGGTCTTACCATGTGACCTACGATTAGCTAAAAGAGTTTTTACTTTTTCTAACATTAAACAAGAAGGACCTGTTGCTATTTATTAAAAATATATAAAATGGAAAAGCAAACACGGATTTAGAGTATGTTCCCTGAAACATTGTTACATTTTTTTTTCAAATTTCAGATTGTGAATTTTTGGATTTACTTAGTTTTGATGAACTGAGGAAGACGTGAAAAAATACACATATTTTCGGATTTCTATTGAATCAGAAGATACTAAATCCTTTATGGTTACATCTTATAGAGACACACTCTTATTTCATTAGTTAAACTGCATGTTTCCATATTTTACTAATGTCTGACCAAAACTGAACCGAACCTGATACATAGTAAGAACAGTGCAGGAACTGCGTGTGTCAGAGAGCGACTTGTTACCTAGTATGGCTGGTGCTGCAAGATAACATGAGGAGCGTATTTGTCATCGGTCCCAGACGCTTTTGTTTTTCTGTCACACAGGTGGTCGCAGCTCCCTTAGTGTCGACGTCTTCATTTCCTTTAATGTTTCCCATTTTTACTTTCTCCCCCTATACCATAGTATATGAAGAAGGAGAAAGTATTGTTTTCGTCAAAATTTTCGAGTTTGAGTTTTGAGTGGATATATTCGTTTTGGGTGGATATATCTGTTTTTGGAAGCTGGATTGGTTTATCTGAATCTTAACAGAGTGACTAAGTTAACTTTATACAGGGTGTTTACCAATCGGGAATCCCGGGATATTCGAGAAAAGGTCTAGGATTTTGAAAGATCGGGAAGAGTTGTGAAAAAGTAATGAATTTTGGCCGAAGGTTAGGAATAATCTAACCCTTCAAAATTAGGAATGAACCAAAGCTCATGGACCAAAACTATGCTACATAACTTATATACGGTTATATTGAGTTATGTACGTCGTGGTTGTTTTGTGTGTAAAGCTACGCGAGCACTACGGCAGCACGGCACGGACGGGCGGTACAGCACGGACAGACAGGACAGGACATTCGCACATCCACAATTTAGGACAGTTGACAGTCTGCGAGCTAAACCTTGTGAGTAAAGATGGATGTAGATTAAGTGGTGATAGTAGGTTTAATTTTATCATAGGAAGAGGGGACAAGAAGGCGTACGGTAAGCAAAGATTTTGATACACCACATTAACAGGAAAAGCCTAAGTTTTGGAGAATTGAAAGGCAAAGCTCTCTCCGAGTAATTAAGACTTTTTAACACGCGGTTAGCATTCTGGGTAATAGTAGTATGTTTTCTGTGCCATCGCTTAGGCCTACTCATGATAAAGGTTGTTGACAAGCAAAAGGGAAAATGTATGTGTCAAGTTCCTTGTTTGATAATGTTTGAGTTGGAAAAAGGCCAGGAGTCAATTTTTTCATTTGGCTCAAATTTTCTTAAAGAATTGCCTCGGCATGTCCTCACACCTATGATTTATTAGAATTATTTATTTTATGTTGTGACATACTTTTTAAAGATGGATTAATTTTGGAACACAGTAATGTGTTTATTTTTATATTTTACTAGCTGGCCCGACAGACGTCGTCCTGTCCTAATGTGGTTTTATGTCAAATGCTCGTTCATTTTCAAGATGAGTTCGTTCGCATGGCTCAATCACGTCCTGGTTGAAGTTCGTTCGCTACACTCACACACCTTTAGGTTGGAGCTCGTTCGCTGTGCTCACTTGCCTTTAGGTTAGCTCGTTCGCTACGGTAACTCGCCTCCAGGTTGAATAATAGTGCTGCACCCTGTTGGTAAACCTATTAACTTTTTAATGCTATTGAACATCACAGAATCAAATTATGTAGTTGAACCAGCTGTTAAGATTCTTTAATTCCATTTAAATATCAACAAGAGGTTCTACCCGCGAATTCACGGGTGAACAGAAGTCACCATTAAATTAATTTAATCAACTTTGACTTTATATTTTGTTTAAAGGGCCCAAGTTCGAGAAATTGTCATCTGAAAGGATGTTAAAAGCAGTGGAACCTTCATACCTTACAACATATGGCCGAGGTTGTACCTGAACACGCAGCTCTCTTTCACGACGTCTTTAATACTTTACTTTAATACTTTTCAATGAAATTGCGACCTGTTAAAGATCGGTGACAACCTCTTGGAACAAAACATACATGGTTTGTTAATCTCATATTCGTCGTGTTTCGAACACCTTTAATCACTCACTTGTATCAAACAGCTAGAAATAGCTTCACTGTCCATTCGCCGCACTTCTTTTAAGAACATAAAAGTAAATAATAAAATAAGTAGGCCTAAACAAAAATGTAAACAATCTATATTGTCAATTGCATTGGCCAGCTGTTGTTCACTAAATTAATCGAATAATAACTTCCAAAACATGCAAGGCGTTCGTCCATATCAATACTTTTCGGCAAATCTATACACTCTAAGCTTCATTTTGATATGCCAAATGCCTATATTTTTATTTGGTAAATGGCCTTAACCGTTTACATAAAATTTGATTGTATCACTTTAATAATATAATAGATACTCATAATAAGGTTAACATGGAAAACTCCAGAGCCACTGGGACGGAGCCCTTTTACAGTTATAATAGGCTATCTTTAAAACTGAAACTGAAGCTGTATTGTTTAGCTGCCTTAATCAAAATTTAATTGCAGTGGAGTATTCCGCCCCTTGACACCACAACCTATGTTTAAAGCTAATGTTTACAACAATCCAAAGAAAGTCGTTGTAACAAATGTAAAAAAAAATTAAATAGGCCTAAAAAAATTAAAATTAAAAATTATTTTTAATTTGATTTTAATTAAATTATTTTATTAATTAAATATTATAAAATTTGGTGCAGGCATGGGCACAGCTTTATTTCTGTTCAATTGTTCATAATAGTGATGTTCTGGCACCCCATTTTCTTGATGAAATGCTCAGTTTATTTATATTTTAAATAAACCCTCAAAATATCCTCAGAGGGTCATCCTGAATTTCCATGGCTGTTCTTGTTATTAATGCTGCATAATGGTCTTTTCAAAACAACAATATAAGTCCTATTAACGACCTATCTTAATCTTTTAAATGTCTACATTTGTTTTGTGTAGAATAACAGTGTACCAAAAAGGTATTAATGTACTGGAATTCAATTTTTTGCTTACCTATTACTTGCTGTAGAAGTATTTTTTCTTTGGAAATAAGCAGCACATTACTAGCGTAATGATTAATGTCCTGTTTAGTGAGAGGGACATTTCATACACGGCATATTCATAAAAATATTGGGTGTTTTGCTAGCCTAGTGGTAAGCGAGCGTCTTGAACTTCGGTGCGGGAGGGACAGTCTGTAAACAAAAAAGTTTTAGGGTCAACTGTTTTCCACTGGAGTTTGTTTTGTGTAGCAGTTGGTGAAAAAAATAACAGTTTTGTTTCAATATACAAACTTGCTAGGTTTTAGATGTTGACACAACAGTTTTGGGAATCATTTGATGGTTTAAAATAAAAATCGCTCACAAATTATTGGTTGATGGCGGTTGAGAGTAGAAGTGAAAAGATGAAAGGTGCAGATGGTATTGTTAACAATGTTTGCGTTGACAGGAGCCAAGAGTATTAATAACACAGATCAGCTGTTGAGGATTACTCTGTGGTCAAATGACTGGTCTCATGACATGTCTGAACAAGTCACATTGAGACGTATCTCTGAGAAAATCTGTCAACAAATTTCAAAACTGTAACTTGTTGAATTATTTTAATCTGCAAATAAATTGTAAGTTTTACTAATTCATATCACTACCGTAGAGAATAATATACAGGGTGACAATTAATTAAGTCTGGAACCTTTTTTTTTAAACTACAATAGAAAAAAACACCTAAGTTCACACGAGCTTATTGATGATAGTAACACACACATCTGCCCAATTACCGACCGGATAACCCCTTTGGGGGACGGTCCACAAGGAGTCAGACAAAATTTGTTTGGTATCAAATTAAAGGTCTCTGTTAGTAAAATACAATGCCACAAACTCGAACTCAAATG